GGGGTTGAAATTAATGTGAAGACCTTGTCAACTTGGGTTCAGAAGGGATAAGAGAGGCTTAAAGAGTGTTATTTATCTATATTTAAGATTTTATATTAATTTCACGCTTATGAAAGCAAGTGGTTGGTTTGAGGCTGGCATGGTGAGAGCAGATGCCATGCAAACTTTCAGACCTCTGACATTTGTAGCTGCATTCACTGAAACAGGTTTTTCAGCATAGATTGGTGATGAACTGAAATACCCCTTTGCTTTGCTTTACTCCCTTTTGCTCTGCATGTGCACAAAACTATGCCAGTACACGATAGAGCACTGCAGCCTACTGCTGTCCTATTTCTGTGCCCACCTCTGCCCCCTTTATGACAATGTATCACATTTTCGACTTGCAACATTGTAATCCAAGAACCTCCACCCACATATATGTCAATGTACTTTAATCCCAAACTTCAGCACCCCTTGCAATTCCAGTCATAATTCCCATATATCTAGCCCTATGCACCTCAGTCCTTACCTGCAGTTCCCTATCTCTTTCTAGTCCATGAACACAGAGTGCTAGCACTTATTCTGAAGTACTTCTTTATAATAGATGCAATTCATTCAGTATCTTAGACCCCCCTTCAAAGGGGTTAAGTAATGGAGTATAGGGAAATGAAGTAACTAAGGAGGAAGGAGTTAGACATAGTTCTAGGGGCAGCCTCAGTGAGTATAAATCAATATAAATCCAATCTCTTCAGCAGAGTTGTATCAGGTTGTCTAGGCACTAGTCCTAAATTTGTTTTTAAAAGACATTTTATACCCATGTGGCTATTTTATAAAATCTTTTATAAATTTTTAAAATATACAATCCAAGAGTTTGGACATTATACATTTAAATAATTAAATTAAATATTATTTACCTAAAACTTTCTATGATACCTCTTGCCAGAGCATCTAAGGACTCTGAGGCAGATTAATCTAATTCATCTCTTAGTTTTAAAAATTTCATGAACTTGTGGCATTCTTGTTCATTAAAATTCAAAACTAGATAAATAAGGCATAACTCTGGCTCACAGTATTTTTATATTTGCGGAAAACTGAGACATATGTAGAAAACAACCTCTTCATAAATAAATTGTGCTGTTATCACCATGAATGTTCTTTTTTCCTGCAATGTGCTGATTACTAGAGAGAAGCCAAGTGCTTTGGATAATTATAATTAGTGTTTTTCATCATCATGACATTTTAAAAGGTCCTTGCAAGTCTCCTGTGGTAGATTGCTAAGTATCATCAACTTCATTACACATATGAGCAAACTGAGGCAAAGCAAAAATGACTTTTCAATGGCCATGGAGCCAAAGGGTATAACGATGCATATGAAGATTTTCAACAAACTCAGTTTTACTATTTTATTTCATACTTGGAAAACTTGAATTAACTTTAAAACTCATTACTATGACTAAAGTCTCTTATTTTAAGGTTCTACCATGGCTACCATGAATAGGCTTATTGTCTCTATCCAGTCCCTGTTTGACAATTATCCATACCACATACACCTGCCCTCCCAACTTACACTAAGCTATGGTTCTTTGTTCAAGAACTGGAGCATACAGAACAAGCACTGAACATTCTTCAGAAGCTCATAGATCAGCTATATAGAACTGAGAAACACTGAGGATTGGTATGCGAGTATAATTTACAGAGGAGAGGGAAGCAGCAGAAAAGGATCTTTTGTTGAATCCTTTATCTCTTTGAACAGATGAAGAATAGGTCAGTACTACTTTTGGTTAGAGAGTCACAAAAGCATCTATAGGAGAATATCTGACAGTTAATAGGCATGCTCAGTAGCTCTCTCTGCAACTATGCAAAGCATTCTCATTAAAGACATATGTGTTGTTTAGCAGCAGTCTCTAGATTCAAGGATGATGTCTACCATGGATCACTGATGGGTCTTGAGTTGATTGAAGAGCCCAATACTTGAGCCATGGACCTGTCCACAGAAATTGTAGGTCTTTGCACAGAAGAGAGTAGGCCATAGGCTAGCATTGCTCTCCTTTTCCATTGTCTTGTCTCTCTCCTCTGCTTCGAGGGCAAGATGCTTTAAGCAGCAGCTTTAAACAGGCTGCTACTTGTTTGAGGTTCTGGCACCATTGGAGTCAGTCAGCAGCCAGCTCCTTCCAGCTCTTGATATCAGCATCCATTTTCTTAAGCATCCTTGTAGTGTTTTCTCTGGCCACTATGAGATCTCAGGCCATCACTAAACTTGGAGTAGAGCATTTCTTTTGGAAGTCAAGAGTCAGGCATTTATACACAATGTCTGGTCTGGTGAAGTTGGTGCTTGAGAATCACTGACTCAATGCTGGTAACATTGGCTTCAGCAAGGAAGCTGGCATTTGTGTGATGATCTTAGCATTTGATTTGGAGGATTTTCCAGATGCATCATGGTGATCCAGGATCTTGAGGTAACAACAGTCAGTCACCCACATTTCACAGCTGTTGAGAAGAGTGGAGATGATGACTGAATTGTGGACCTGGTTCTTGGTGTCTTTCCAGAGATTGCAATGAATAAAGACATGCTAAAGCAATTTCCCAAAGGAGGCACTTGTGCATCAGATCCTGTGATGGATCTCCTCATCAGTAGTCACTCTCTGACTTAGGTGGCCACTGATGTAGGGAAAG